ACTAATCCCAACTCTTGCTATCATTAGCATGACACAGGGGAAATAAAATTTGGACTCAGTTACCCAGTTTCAAATCCCATTTCTGACACTATTTGTTTGACCTTGGGCAATTCATTCAACCTCTGTGGGCCTCAGTTTCCTCATTTATAAAGTGAGAGATTTGGAATAGATAGACTCTAATGGCCCTTCTAGCTTGAAATTTGTGGTCCTCTGATCCTTGTCACCAATATAGCTCTGGCCATAAGTGGAATAAATGTTGGCATGATGGAATAAATATTCATCGATTATGAGTGTATTTCAATGTTTCAATTAAATGAATGTTTATTAAGTACCTCACAGGGGCAGAATTAACCCTATATAAAATTTCTGGGGCAGCTAGGTAGCACAGTAGATAGAGCTCCAGTCTTGGAGTCAGGAGGACCTGAGTTCAAATTCGGTCTCAGACACAACACACGGCACCTACCAGCTGTGTGACCCTGGGCAAGTCACTTAACCCCCCATTGCCTAGCAAAAAGCAAAAAAAAAAAAAAAAGACGATTTCTCTCATTACAAAGCTCATGGTTTAAGTGCAGAGAAAATACACAAAGGACACAGAATGTGATTATATAGGGTGTTCCAAAAGTCTTTAATGAAGTTTTAAGCTACTGGAGCTTAAAGGCAGGACATGAAGACAGGTCTTCTTGAGTCCAAGACCAACCTTATATGTCACACTGCCTTTAGAGAGACAAGAAAATTGGCATAGGGGTTGATAGTTGCTGATGTCCTCTCAGTTCTCTGTTTTTACTAATAATTCAAAGTGATTTCTCCCAATTGTTTGACATCTTTTTGTCTTCAAAATGGGGTTGTCTCTAGTGGGGATTTCCTCTGCTTCCACTTGGTTCAGTCCAGTTGCTCTTCCTGATAACTTCTTAAGTGCTCTTCTTAAGATACTCTTCTTAAGTGCCATTTCTCTTCCTTCATATAATTAGGCACTGAGGTATTGAGTCTAAATGTTTGTCTACTGTCATTGATGATTAAACTAGAGAACTATGGATCACTGGCACATCTGCTAGTCCAGCTGTTGTCCTTCCAATTTTCTTTAGTGATGCTTTTGGTGTAACCTGGTTTAGTTGTGTAGCATGCCAAGTTTTATGTAGACTAACTGCTCTTTCTACTGCTTTCATATACATCATATACATATACTTATATATGGAAATACTGCTTTTAATCTTCTGATATTCTTTTTAATATTTTGCAAATGAGGTTGTACTCTAAACCAATGCTGCCTTTGCCTGTCATGTCTCTCCATCTTACAAAAAGATCATGTGTTTGCTGGCTGTTTCTTGGCTCATAGAGCTTCACATCAGCTAAACTGTAAGAAAAAGAGATAATCAGTCATTGCCTTTGCTAAATTAATTTCCTATATTTCAGATTCAATAGCTTTTTAGAATTGGTTAGGCTGAAGCTTTTTAAATTAGCCAATATGTCTTCTTATCTTTATCATTTCTTGTAATTTATTGTAAGTTTACTTTTGATTTAACTAGTTGATGCTCTGACTGCTGATTCAGAAATGACTCTCACTTTAATAACTGGTTATTTCCTCTCTATTAAATTAAATTCAGTTTTTGTGATGTTGTTTAATAATTATCAATGCCATGTCCCAAGCCTTCACATTCTCTAACATGCAACTGCTTTCTTCCTTGGCCCTTCCTTTCCACTGCAATTTCTGGAACTACCATTTAATTATTTAACAGACTTCCCTTACCCTAGATTTCTTTTTGCATTTTTCATCTTCATATATCTATGGAAACCTAGTTTTTTTTCAGAAGACACTATCCAAAAGATGCCACTTCTAATGTCAGCTATTGCTTCTTTCACATACTTTGATTATACAACGGGCAGGAGTAATTGACATACTTGTTTTTCCCCTCCCCACAACTTTCAGACTCTTGTGTTACCATTACTCAATAACTTTTCCTGGGGTTCAAATTATTCATCTATACCCATCTATCCAAGATCCCTATTGCTGTGATCTACTGGCCCCTAGGTCAGACTCTTTTCTCAAGGAGTTCAGTACCCCATTTATAGTCTTGTTCTCTATTACAGCTTCTAGCTGATGTCCCTCCCTGACCTCTAAACATCACAGCTTTTAAATTAAAAAAAACCACAAAGTAAAACTTCTCAAACTCCCATGGCTTGGAACTTCACCCTACTTAGCTACCCACAGGGATGGACATGTAATGTCTCTGTATCACCAATAAATGTGCCACCTTCATAATTGAGACTCTGACATTCCCTTTCTGATTGCAATAACCTGTTCTTCTGTCTCTTCCTCTGCCTTATTCCTCTTAAAATATTCTTTGTCTTCACTGTAACCACCAACCATCCTTCCTCATCCCTATAGAGGCCTTTTCCTCATCTTCACTGTCTTGACCACATATTTCCTTTGCCTCCAGATCTTATTACCATTTATACCTTGCTAGTCCCCAACCATAATGCCGACTGGCCCCACTACAAATTCATGTTATTTTTTCTCAAATATGTTCTTACTCCTCAATATGATAAAACTCTTATTTTTCCTTGAATACCTCAATCTCCTTAACTGTTCAAACCTTCTCTTCCTGACTCAAACCCTCATTGCCTTTTTCACCTTCTCTCAGTAGATATTTTCACCTTTTACTTGTCTACAAAAGAGGCAATTCACACAGAGTATCCTTTTCTTCCCTACTCCAGTATCTCAAAATCTCTCCACGTCGTCCTTCCTCAGCACCTCTACCCTTGGAACTCTTCCCTCTGAATGGAGAGGGTAAAGGATGGAGAACTGCTTCCATATCCTCCACTATTTAAAGGTGAGCATCTAGGGAATTTTCTTCATCATTTCTTCCCCTCCCCTGCCCCTCGTACCCCTCCCTCTGATTGGAGAGGATGGAGGATGGACATTGGAGAGCTTCTTCAAAATCTTCCAATAATTAATTAATTAATTTTAATTCTCTCATCGTTTCCTTCATTTCTTACCCAGCTACTTTCCTATTCTCCAGGACATTCATCTCCAGATAGTTATCATTCTGCAAGATGAAGTCAACTCAGAAACTCACCCCTTCGCAGCAGTCCTCACCCCTCCCTTCCTCTCTCTGGTTGGAGAGAGCAGGAGACGGCATCTAGTTGTTCCTCCTCCACCTAAGGCTGGTACTTAGGGAATTCTTACCATTTCCATTCTGGATATTTTCCTGGGCTTTATCTTTTCCAGAAACATCATTCTGCAAGATGAAATAAACATGGCAATTCATACCTCCATAGATTATTTCTCACCCTAGCCCATGACTTAACCTCTGGCCCCTTTTTATTGACTCTGACCCACTCTTTACTTTTTTTTCTCTTATTTGAGAAAATAGTGACTCTTCTCTTTGTCAAGGTCAAGTCTTATACCTAAATACTTGATCCCATTCCCTCCTAACCCCTTCCTTCAGGAGCTTGCTCTACTGGTCATGACCTTTCTGTCTATCATCTCCAATATCTCCCCATTTACTTTTCTTGTCCTCAGTGCCTAAAAAGAAGCTAAGGTTTGCCTCATTTTTAAAAAAACCACCACTTGCTCATCATCTTTTCAAGCAACTGGCCCTTATCTCACTTCTGTTTTTACCAGTTCCTAAAATCATCTGTGGCCTAGAGTTTAGCCAAGGATTCTTAATCTTTTTTTGTGTCAAGGTTCCTTTTTGCATTCTGGTGAAGCCTATGAACCCCTTCTCAAAATAATGTTTTTAAACGCATAGAATAAAATACATAGGATTCTGAAGGAAATCAATTATATTGAAATATAATTATCAGAATATTAAAAAACAAAAGAAGTTCACAGACCCTAGGTTAAAAATCTTATTCTATTTCCTTACCATCCAACCAGGGGCTGAACCCTGGTTCTCAATAATACATTGTGATCTGGCTTCTGATCTCACCACAACTGTCTCCAAGGTCTAACAATCTCTCGACTGCTTCATCTGACAGTCTTTTCTTAGTCCTGGGCCTTCTTCTCTGCAGTTTTGTATACCAATGACTACTCTTTCCTCTTCAACATTTTCTCCTCCCTTGGCTTTTATGACATAGCTCTCTGATTCTCCTCCCACCTCTGTGACCATGCCTTAGTGTCCTTTGCTGGATCATAATACATCTCCTGCCACCCAAGTACAGTTGATTCCCAGGGCTCCTTTGTGAGTTCTCTTCTCTATCCTTCCTTCCCTCTCTCCTGCCTCTCTGTCTCTGTCTGTCTTTCTGTCTCTCTTTCTCCCTCCCTCTCCCTCTCATCTTTTCAGTTTTCAAGGGTCCAAGTGTCTTTAAGCAGATAATTCCAATATCTATATATACAGCCCCAATTTCTGATCTTTCATCTCCAATTCTTTATCATCAAACTCCTCCTAGATATCTCTTAGGCATCTTAAACTCAACATGCCTTCCACCTCTAAATCTATTTTATACCCCCAAATGAATTTATTTCCTTTCATGCTAAGCATATCCTTTGCAAACATCCTTATTTCTATCAAGGGCACTACCAGTTCCACAATCACCCAGGTTCATAACCTCAGAGAAAGAGGAGACAAAAAGGAAGAGGAAAGGGACAGAGGGGGAGAAAGACATGAGAATTACAAAGAAGGAGGGAGAAGAAGAGAAGGAAGATAGAGAAAAGTTGGAAGAAAAGGGAGGAGGCAGTGAAGGAGGGAGGAAGGGGAAAAGAGAGAGGAGGAAGGAGAGAAAGGGAATGAGAAGGAAAGGAAGAGAGAGGAAGGAAAGGAAAGAAAGAGAATGAAGAGGAGGAAGGGGAAGAGACGAAGGGAAGGAGAAAGAGGAAAGAAAGAATGAGAGGAAGGGAAGGAGAAAGAAGGGGAATGAAGAGGAGGATGAAAGGGAGGGGAAGAGAAAGTGAAGGAGAGCAAGGGAATGGAGGGGAGGGAAAAGGGGAGGAGAAAGAGGAGAGAAAGGGAATGAGGAGGAAGGGGAGGAGAAAGAGGAAGAGGAGGAGAAGAAGGAGGAAGGGGAGGAGAAGAAGGAGGAAGGGGAGGAGAAAGAGGCAGGGCAGGATGTGAAGGAGACAGTGGTAGGGATGGTGCTGGTGGCATCCTGGGCATGACAAGAGCTGGCTGCCCCAACTTGGGGGAAGGAGGAACACGTTAGCATCTTTGTATTCTAAGCAGCCCAGCTCCTACAGCGTAAGCCAAAGTTCAGACCCTGGTCCACATTGCCCCGGCCTCCGCCCCTTCCCGTTCTCCTCTTCTGTCTCCCCCTCCCCGCCTCCCTGCTGGTGCGGCCACACGGAGAGATCAGGTGCCGACGGAGAAGGAGGCGGAACATCAGCATCAGCACCAGCTCCAGCGCAGCCGCAGAGAGGACGGAGGCAGAGCCAGAGCCAGAGCCGGCCTGAACTAGTGATCCCGGCGAGGGCGGGGCGTGGACTGAAGCGAAGCCGCTTCCCGGGCGTGGCGTGTGAGGTGAGAAAGCAGCCGCCCCACCGCTGGTCCACTTAGGAGCCCGTGAGCGCGTAGAGAGCAACATGTCAGCGCCGGCGGCCAAAGTCAGCAAAAAGGAGCTCGCCGCCAACCTCCACGAAGCCCTTGAGACCTCGGAAACACAGCTACAAGAAGCAGTCGAACGAATCGATGAAGTGCAGAGTGAAATAGACAAGCTGAATGAGCGAGCCAGTGTGGAAATTTTGAAAGTGGAACAGAACTATAACCAGCTCCGCCAGCCTTTCTTCCGGAAGAGGTCCGAGTGGATCACCAAAATACCGGACTTCTGGGCGACCACCCTTCTCAGCCACCCTCAGTTATCCTCGCTGCTTGGGGAGGAAGATGAGGAAGCCCTGCATCACTTGACTAGGATTGAAGTGATAGAATTCGAAGACGTGAAATCGGGTTACAGAATAGATTTTTATTTTGATGAAAACCCTTACTTTGAAAATAAAGTGATCTCCAAAGAGTTTCACCTTGATGGAAGTGGGGATCTCGCTTCAAAGTCAACTGAAATCCATTGGAAATCTGGAAAGGACTTGACCAAGCGCCGGAAAAAGATCCAGACTAAAGATGGCCGCAAAAGGTTTCGAGAAGACAGCTTTTTCACTTGGTTCTCAGACCATACCGATGCTGGGGCAGATGAGTTAGGAGAGGTCATCAAAGATGATATCTGGTTAAATCCCTTACAGTACTACCTGGCATCTGATACCGATAATGAAGAAGGGGAAGAAGAAGGAGATGAGGAAGAAGATTTGGAGGACAGTGTTGGTGATGAAGAGGAAAGTGAAGAAGAGGAAGATGATGGGGAACATGATGATGAAGGAGAAGATGGAGGGGAGAATACAGGCCAAAATGACTAATAGAACATTGATGGATTCCAAAACTCCTTTTAGCTTTAAAAAATGTCTCCAGTTCCTGGGTGCAAGTTTCAGTCTTTTTATTTTCATTTCGTGTGCAGTCACCTTGTTCTCTTGAGGGTTCTTTGTTTCCTCATACCATAGTTCACAACTTTCTTGTTTCTGGGGGCACAGGGAATACTTTGAGCAGAATGCAGTGGGACAAATCTCCACCATTGTCTCTTCCAAATTCATGTTCACCCTTCTCTGTCCCAAAACAAACTATTAATAAATTCATAGGATTTTCATATTTATAAATTCATAGATTTCAGATTCATAGATTTAAAGCTGGAAGGGACCACAGAGACCATTCTAGTCCAATTCTGTTACATATGGGGAAACTGAGGCTTGGTGATGTTCATTGACTTGCCCAAGGATACACAGGTATTGGCAGAGGCTATGCTTGAACTGGGGTGCTTTGATTCTAGGGCCAGTGCTCTTTCCTTAATCTCACATGTAGTGCTTTTTTTGGGGGGGAATGGGGAGAAATTTCTGTGTTCAGGGGTGAAAGGAAGTGGATGGGTACTAGACTCGGTTGTAGTAATACATACAATTATAGTCTCCCACTCCTTTCTGATGTACAGTGCTCAGAGATTACTCTATGTCTCTGTGTGGTTATGGAAAGTTAGCATTTACCAACATGCATCTGTCTACTTTCTCTTAATGAAAAAAAAAATAACCTTTAAAAATCCATGGGGTTATGGCAGGTCAAACGTGGCTTTGAGGTGTTTGGATGGGTAAGTAGTCTTCTTGACAACATCTCTTCTCCTTTGGTGTGTTTAATTTCATGTGTAAAAGTATTATTGAAGTTTAGGGTAGCAGTTTATAAAATAAAAGCCTCTCCTAAGGATGAACAATAACAACAACAAAAAACCAAATAGAAATGTAAAGTTCTGTTCTTGGGTCCAAAAAAAATCAACTTGACAAGTACTTGAAGATGAGGGAGGTGTGGCTAGACTGTGATTTATCTTATTTAGAGCACTCAGGTCAATGTGAGTCAAAAGTACAACGTGGCAGTCGAAAAGGCCAATACGGTCTCAGGCTGCATTAAGAAAAAGAAGCATAGTGTCCAGAACAAGGCAGGTGATAAAGTGAATTTTACTCTATTTTGGTTATACCATATAGAGAATGTTCTGGGCACCACCACCTTTTAATAAGGATATTGAGAAGTGGAGCATGTCTTGAAAAGAGCAACCAAGATGTTGACAAATCATATCTTGTGCCAGTTGGAAATAACTGGGGTTATTTATTTGGCATGTGAGGGGAGGGGCAGGTATCTTCAAATATTTGAAGGGCTGTCAAGTGAAAGAAGAATTAGATTTCAGAGAAATTTAGGCTTGATAGGAGGAAAATCTTAACAATAAGAACTTAATCAAGTGAGAGGTGAGTTGCCTTGTGAGAAGGTAGTGAGTTTACCCATCATTAGAGGTCTTTAAAGTGGGAATGTTAAGGGAGTATGTCTCAGGGTGGTTTGGGCAAGATGGTTTCTAAAGTCCCTTCCAAATCTGAGAATTCATGATTCTTTGAAATATTACCTCGTCCAGGAAGGCTTAGCTAGTTGGGGGACCCCTGCTTTTTGTTCTACAGAGTTTGGAGTCTGAAGCTGAGAATCTTCTGCTGGGGAGATGAGAGGCTTCAGTAACCAAGATTCCGGAGGGAACAAGACAGGAAAACCTGAAAACTTGATTGTCTGGTTCCCAGGCAAGGGTTTCTGCTTTTTCTAAAAGAGCTAGAGGAGGCCTGTGAACTTTAAACTAAGAGAGACCCACTTTTCCCTAAAAAAGAGATGGTGAAGGATTTCAGTAAAGCCAGAAGCAGGCAGTGTCTGATGTAGATTTTGAGTCCAATAGAGCAGTATCCCAGAGTGCAAGAGAGAAGACACAGAAGTGAGATGGTGGTGATCACTGTGGCTCTGTAGGGTAGGTGTGAGTCATCCCTCCATACATGTGCCTAGGCCACATGTGTTCCCTATATTGTGATTCTCCATATGCGTTCTCTATGTGTGTCCACTTATCCCACTGATGTTTTGTTTTTGTGGGAGAGAGAGTCCAAGGTTTGTTGAAAGGAGAGGGACAGTTTCTTTTCTTTCTTTCTTTGGCTACTTTGCTTACTGTAGCATTTCATTAGATGCCTTTACTTTGAACTAACTGTATTCTCTGGCTGATTAGCGAAGGTAAGCACTGTGCATCCAGTGCCTGAGCTATATAGTTTTAGGGTATGTAGACCTACTCTGAACCTAGGTGGTCAGTTACCTGAGTGACCCATCCTGCAGCCCAGCAAATTGTTTGTGTGTGTGGGGGGGGAGAGTTGCTTCCAGGCACCACACTGTAATTATCTGTTTTTGTCCTTTTAGTTTAATTGTCCAAGTTTTCTCAGCAAAGATACTAGAGTGGTTTGCTATTTCCTTCTCCAGCTCATTTTACAGATGAGGAAACTGAGGCAAACAGGGTTAAGTGACTTGCCTAGGGTCCCACAGCTAGTAAGTGTTTGAGGCTGGATTTGAACACAGGTCTTCCTGACTCTAGGCCTGGCACTCTATCCACTGCACCACCTAGCTACCTGTCCTATTATTTGGGCAGGTACTGTACATCTAGGACAATGTTCTCTACACAATAGAAATTTGGTAAATTTGGTAAATGTTTGCTGAATCAATGAATGGCCATGGGGTCAATGCAGCTTTCCAGCTATGTGAGTGTGCGATATGTGTGTGTATATGTGTGTGTGTGTGTGTGTGTGTGTGTGTGTGTGTGTGTGTGTGTGTGTGTGTGTGTGTGAGAGAGAGAGAGAGAGAGAGAGAGAGAGAGAGAGAGAGAGAAAGAGAAGAGAGAGAGAGAAGAGAGAGAGGAGAAGAGAGGAGAGAAGAGAGAGAGAGAGAGTGGGTGGGGAGGGGCTGGGCGGGGGGACAAGGAGTTATGAATTCTTTGTAGGAATCTTCATTATCCATTCTTAGCAGGGCCTCATTTATTGTCCTTGTTCCTAAACTCAGGTTCTAATATCCTTCCCACCAGAGCTCACTATAATTTTTCCAAGGGCCACCCCTCTCACTCCATTAGTCTGTCAAGCACCCAAGGGCATAATAATTTCCCTCTGCATTCCCCAACCTCCTCAAAAAAAAACCCAACAAAAAACCTCATGGATAGTGGGGAAAACCGAAGCAAGAGTTGAATCTAAGACAGATTTTATTGGTTTTAATCAGGAGTGTTGCCAGGGCTGAAACTTCTACAGACCCAGGCAGGTGCTTCCTCCCTTTGTGCTTCCTTAAGAGTTTCTTATGAGTCCTAGGAGTGTCTACTTCTTTCTGCTTCTAAAGGGAGGGGGACCAGTTTGGTATCCCTGAGCATCTGGGTTCTGGGACCCCCTCCACCTTGCAGGTCCATTTTCAGGGGTTTGGGCTCAGAAGTGTGGGAGGAGGAGTGCTCTAAAGAGAGAAGGGTTAGGAGCAGTGGCTGCTAGGCATCTATGGAGAGAAAGGGGAAGCACCCAGAAGTACAGGTTTAGGAGTTTAAGACTCAGTAGAGATCCTTTCTTCCATGTCAGGCCCCATGTTTCAAGACTGACAAGCTCTGGGGTATCTAGGTAGTAGTGCAGTGGATAGAGCACCGGCCTTGGAGTCAGGAGGCCCCAAGTTCAAATGTGGACTCAGACGCTCGACACTTATTAGCAGTGTGACTCTGGGCAAGTCGCTTAACCCCAGTAGCCTTACAGAAAAAAAGACAAGCTCTGAGAAGACAGGTGTCCCCTTCAGCTGTGGGAGGAAGCAAAGAGAGGACTGAGGTGAAAGGTCCACTATCCTCTGCCCCGACACACCACCACCACTCTGATGGCCGCCCTCTTCCAGCTTTCCATTGCCAGTCCTTCCGCAAAAGTTCAGCTTATCATTTCTCCATAGGGCTCCTCTCTGCAAGGAGGTTGCCTGCATGAGGGGGGTGGTATTCTCTTTAAGCTATGTTCTATCAAATAGATAAATAATTTTTTAAGTTCTTTGTTCCAGGAACTTTTCTAAGCACTGTGAGTACAAATACAAGCAAAAAACACGATAGTCTCTGCCTTCAAGGACCTTACATTCTGATGGGGGAAGCAACGGAGGTTTTACTAGCAAACCTCGTGATTAGATCCCCCTGACAGAGGAGCACTTTAATGCCAGACCCAGGGAATGATGGAACACCCACTAGCTGCCTATGTCAGCTGTCTGGGGATCCCTTGGGACAGATCAGTAGTCCTGACTTACTAAAGGCATTGGCATCATGACTTTTCAACCCCAACCTGAAAAGGGTGGAAGTCAGAGCAGAGAGTAGCCTGACACCTGAGGGACACACTTGAATGACTGAGCATTGGGCCTCCCTTTTTTTTCTTTTCTTTCTTTCTTTTTTTTGTTTTTGGTTAGACAATGGGGTTAAGTGACTTGCTCAGGGTCACACAGCTAGTAAATATCAAGTGTCTGAGGCCAAATGGATTTGAACTCAGATTCTCCTGACTCCAGGGCCAGTGCTCTATCCGCTGTACCACTTAGCTGCCCCTGAGTCTCTGTTTTCAAGTCCTGAACCTGTACATTTCAGGGAAGAAACCCTGGCTTACCAGTTCAATCTTCATCCCCAAAAGTCTCACTATGAAGTACTTAGTAACTTGTGAGAGTCCAGAACCATCAGAGGAGTTATTAGACAACATGAGAGCACATGCAGGAGGGCGAGAGGTTGGTGTATAAAAGACAGATCTGCCTTTACTTTTCCATCTGAGGCAGTGTGTGCCCAGCCCAGTACCTGGCTTTTCAGTTGCTCTTCAGCCTATAAGGCCTAGTCCCTCCTGTCTGTGGAACTCCAAGAGCTGCCTGTCTTCAGCCCAGTTCAAATATTGGTCAGCCTATTCCATTAAGCCACTCAGAACACCTGCTTTTTGCCATCAAATTCCACATCTTTAAACTTTTAATTAATTATTCCTTTCACCTGTTCAATTTAAAGAAAACGTGGATCTCCCTGTGGACAGCCATCCCTTACAACCCTCCTCATTGATAGCTGCTCCTCTCACTCTACATACACATATTTCTTGCTGCCTGCAAAAATACTTTATCTTGCCCCTCCTTAAAAACCCTCACTTCATCCATCCATCTCTGATAGCTCTCATCCTATATCTCTCCTTTCTTGTCTAAATCCCTTGAGAAAGTCATCTGCAGTAAGTATTTCCACTTCCTCTTCTCACACTCTCTTCTCATCCCTCTGAAGCCTGGCTTCTGACCTCGTCAACCAAAACTGTACTCTCCAAAT